ATTCATAGAATAGATGGCCTGAGGGTGTGTAAATGTTCAGAAAATGTTAGTTTTTTGGGTGAACTATTCCTTTAGTTTATTTTTATAAATATAAAATATAATCTTATTTCTTTCTGAAACACATAAAACTTTTTGTTAAATGAACTACATAGAGTAAATAAAGTAATTCAATAAATGAGATCATTTGTACTTATTTTTTGTGAAATTAATCACTGTAACACACACATAAAACATCACATATTTAACCTTTCTGCCATAGATGCAAGTTGATCCTTGGATTAAAAGTGCAGCCTCTGCAAAGTTCATCATGGTTTTCCCACCATCAAATGAAATGGTCATCTGGTCGAGCTGTCAACACAATGCAACAGCAACAATACAATACTTAGGCTAGAAAATGAACCTTTAAATGAATTAAGGTGGTTCTAGATCAGTCTGTTAGTGTGTTTTCACCTCCCCAAGATACTCTCCAAGCTGGCTGGCCAGGTCAATGTCCCAGTTCTTGGTGAGGTCCCGCAGCGGCTGCAGCAGATGGGCATATCTCGTCTCTGCAGAATCCATGGCCATGTATTTCCAAAATACCCTGCAAATCATAATTTTCACAGGCATTATAATTCATACTTAAAATGAATTACCATCCTCCAAAATATTAAGAATGTTTTAAGGCTCACTTAAATTTTGAAAAGTAAAAAAAAAAACATGACATGTTGTCTTTGATTTGCAAAGATATGTTTTACTTTGGTCCTGTACTGTACTGTACTGTGCAGTCTCTGACAAAAAATATAAACAAAAATCGTTACTGAATCACATTAAGTGTATACAGGAGATTTGCTAGCTGTCTAATAACTACACGCACAATAGATATAGCTGTATTATTTGAACACTACCATTACATTTCAGGTTAAAGTTTTATAACCACTCGGAATCACCGTTAAACTGTAAGTTACACTTCATTTAAACCGTTTAAACACACATAAAACATCACATATTTAACCTTTCTGCCATAGATGCAAGTTGATCCTTGGATTAAAAGTGCAGCCTCTGCAAAGTTCATCATGGTTTTCCCACCATCAAATGAAATGGTCATCTGGTCGAGCTGTCAACACAATGCAACAGCAACAATACAATACTTAGGCTAGAAAATGAACCTTTAAATGAATTAAGGTGGTTCTAGATCAGTCTGTTAGTGTGTTTTCACCTCCCCAAGATACTCTCCAAGCTGGCTGGCCAGGTCAATGTCCCAGTTCTTGGTGAGGTCCCGCAGCGGCTGCAGCAGATGGGCATATCTCGTCTCTGCAGAATCCATGGCCATGTATTTCCAAAATACCCTGCAAATCATAATTTTCACAGGCATTATAATTCATACTTAAAATTAATTACCATCCTCCAAAATAATAAGAATGTTCACCTAAATTTTGAAAAGTAAAAAAAAAAACATGACATGTTGTCTTTGATTGGCAAAGATATGTTTTACTTTGGTCCTGTACTGTACTGTGCAGTCTCTGACAAAAAATATGAACAAAAATCGTTACTGAATCACATTAAGTGTATACAGGAGATTTGCTAGCTGTCTAATAACTACACGCACAATAGATATAGCTGTATTATTTGAACACTACCATTACATTTCAGGTTAAAGTTTTATAACCACTCGGAATCACCGTTAAACTGTAAGTTACACTTCATTTAAACCGTTTAAAGCAGTAGTAAGAGCTTTTACAGCACTGACGCTCCAACAACACGATCATAAATCAATATCAATACGCTCACCTTTAGTATGCGAATAAGCAACGGTTGCTGGATAAAAGAATAACTTCTTGCTCGTGTATTTCTTGAAATATAACAAAATAATAATAAAATCTACACTTTAGGGAAATACCGCGCATACGTCATTTTTGTTTTTGCCGCGCGCGTGGCGTTCAGACCGAAGTCACCGGACGTCCGCTGAAGCGCTGCCCTCTGCCGGCCTGGAGGCGGAGCGTGATTTATTTCTGTATGTACCAGGGGTAGGCAAGTTCGGTCCTAGAGAGCCGCAGTCCTGCAGAGTTCAACTCCAACCCTAATCAAACACACCTGAACAAGCTAATCGATGTCTTTGGCAGGTGAGGGTTTTTTTTCAGGGTTGGAGCTGAACTCTGCAGGACTGCGGCTCTCTAGGACCGAACTTGCCTACCCCTGACCTAAGGTCATAAGGTCAGAGAAAGTGCAAACAAACTGAGATGAGCATTGTTCTTCAGAAAAACCTTTCACATATATATATATATATATATATATATACATAAGTTGGTCAGACAATTTAAAGAAAGCATAGGTCAAATGGTTTATTAAAAAAAGGAAAAAATAACAGCAACAATTCTTTGACAACTACACAATAGTAATATTATTTTATTTATTTTATTTTAATCTAGGGGGGGAACAAACATCCCCACTGCTCCATAGTGTGAATGTCTTCGATGGCCAGAAGAGGTCGCTATAAGGCAGCCAGACAAATAATAAAACTTCTTTAACCCCAGAGATGTATAACTAAGATAAAAGTGGACAATTACTGTACAAAGTGTTAGGATTATTGAATTGTTATATTTCATAGCATTTGTATATTGTTTTCAATACAAGTCAGTTCAACACAATCCCTCAACCCTGAGGAAATATTCCCATGTGATTACTTCAATTCTGACCAATAATTTTCATAAGATAATTGAAAAAAAATTAATGTACACACACACGCACGCACACACACACACACACACACACACATATATATATACTTACAAACAAACAAACAAACAAACAAACAATTTTTACATCTATTTAGGGGTTAACAGGGAGATATTCAGTATTGTTTTTCAGATCCTCTTAATGACTATCTGATCTTTTCAAGGTGGAGCCAAGACATTATCTCTGATTCACCAGATGGGTGGAACTGCTTCCTTCCAATTTAGTGTTGCTTTGCATTCTAACAAGGCAGAAAAAGCAAGGTCTTTACCAATTGTTGCTGATAACCATGAGTCTTCTGGGGAAACATAAATAATGCTACAAGAGGAACCTGTGCTGGAGAACTGCTGAAAGAGGCTTAAATACGATATTGAGCAATAGTTGGTTGAACTTGTGAACCCTTAGCACATTGACAGCTATTACACATACATTTGGGTTCAATTGATTTTTGACATATAAGTGTTATGTATTTTAAGGGGAGACACTGCAGGCAAAAGCACTGTTTCATGCACCTGTTAAGTTTGTGATTTGGGGCTTTTTGGTTTTTCATAAAGTGTTTTTTCAGACTAGTGGAAAGAAAACATCCAAAAAACACTGTTAAGTGTTTCGTTAATAGCACTTTATCTATTTGTATCAATAGATTTCAATTACAATACATATTTTTAAAGGCTGTTTTCTCAAAATGAGTTTTTTTCTCCTACACTGAGCCATAAATCTCCACTTCAGTAGCACTTACACACACCACACTTTACATTTTTATTCCTGTATATCCTGAAGGTTTTTACAGAGGGCTTTGTTCATATATAATTAGCTTGATTATATACAACATTTAAATCCCCCCAAAATTGTGAAAATATAATGTTTTCTGTCCATTCTAAGCATTTTCTGAATTATAGAGTGACAAAAATGAGATACCCAAAATTCCCTCTGTAAAAACGTTTGACTCTTATATGGCAAAAAAATTAAACAAGAATTTTGAAACTGACATCATCCAGTGTTTAGATTTTTGTGCAAGAAATGCATGCAAATTAGCGGATATTTCGTTAAATAATGACTCATTTGCATAGCGAAACCTAACATTTGAAAAAACTTGTAATACAAAAAATGTTTGCAATTATCAATATAATCAATCAGCTCAGTAAGTAAGGCGATAGCTATTAGTTTTTTTTTTACCCTATTCACCTGCAGTGTCTCGCCTTAAATTGAAATGAGTGCCAAGCACACACTGATGATGACTGAACCTGCTTCAGGACACAGTCCCATGTGTCATCTGAGGCTGGTCTGCCAAGATCTTCCTCATAGGTCCTCCTAATTTTTTCTAAAGAAGAGGATGCTTGACCACAACTTTATTCGCTTTAAAGGAGCAACTAATTGGTTTATAAACACAAGTAACATGACCCCATCCATAAAAATAACAAGCAAACCAATTGTCTGGTGTGAGGTCATCTGATGCATCAGACTTACAGTCAGCTCTGCACTCTAAAAAATGCTGGGTTGTTTCAACCCAACTTTAGATCAAATATGGACTAACCCAACTGTTAGGTTACATTTTTAAACCAAAAGTTGGGTTAGTCCATATTTGACCCAAAGTTGGGTTGAAACAACCCAGCATTTTAAGAGTGTGAGCACTGTGTTAAAGGGATTGTGGGTAACCAAGCAGTTGACAGTAGCCATTGACTTCGTATAGAAATAAACATTATGGAAGTCAATGGCTACCGCCAACTGTTTGGTTACCAACATTCTTCAAACTATCTTCTTTTGTGTTAAACAGAAGAAAGAAACTCACACAGGTTTGGAACAACATGATGGTGAGTAAATGATGACAGAATTTTCATTTTTTGGTGAACAGTCCCTTTAATCCACTGTTTATTATACTTTATACAAGGACTTTACACACACTAAATCTGGGAACTGTCTGCCAATATTAATTATAGACTTTCTGAATTTTAAGCTATCTATCTATCTATCCGTCTGTCTGTGTTGTAGATATTTAGGTAGTTTATTGTGGTTTGGGCGTTTTTACACACAGACAAAACCTAAAATTATACAGCTTTTTAAATTTATTTTTTGTCATATGTAGGGCAATAAATCCCTGGCTTAAGGTGGCACTTGTCATGCTGTGACTGTGTCTCAGATGAATATGGAGACACAGAACTGTAAGACACAGACCTCAGCAACCACTGTACACTTCTTTAAAAACTGTACGGATTCAGATGATATAAAACATGCCCATCACAGATGTCTGATAAAGAAAGAAACATTTTACTGCAGTAATGTATAAACGATTAATAATAAACAAAATAGAATTGGGATGTGCTATGTTGAACGTATGGCAGTATATATAGCCCGTCCTTTGCATTTCAGTGCTAGTTATGATATTAGGCCTTTATGTAAAGAAATGACAAATAATTAGGCCTCTAATGAAAAACATCCCCACGATCAAATAAAGTGAAATTATAATTACATGCAGCGTGGATTGTGATAAAAACATGTGGCTGGCGGATCTTAACAAAACAAATAAACAAACAACAACAAAATAGCCAGTTGGCACGACCTTAAGAGAGCGCCCGCACATCTGACCACGTGATACGATTCCTGGAAAGTTCCTGGAAATTAGTCTTTTGTACACCAGTCTTTTTAAATGAGGATTGAGTCGTAAACGACGAGCGCACACACATACACACACACACACACACACAGAGAGAGAGAGAGAGAGCGAGAGAGAGAAAATTGGTTGGAATATCACTAAACTGCTGGAGAGAGTATATGTGTCCTTCTCGCTTGGCGCGCGTTGTAACGCGTTTGGACGCACGACGCGTGCGGCGCGCTTCCAGACAGCGCGAGAAAGGCAGTGTCGCTCCCGAAAGAATCAATGCGAATACGAGAAAAAACGCGTCCCGATCTGCTGAGCATCAGGGCGTGCTAGTCTTTTGACAGCTAACCGATCAGTGTTTCCCATTAATAATAAATGATGGGTCTAAATCATGGTGCCACTGGAGGTCTGTAACGCGAAACGCGCTGGACTTGATTGCTCATTGCTTTCACTTAGAGAAAAGGTAAGTGATGTGCGCTTTCTCCGACTGTCGCCTTTCAGGCTCAAGTTTATGTTCAAAACGTGCTCTGCTCTATCTATCTATCTATCCGTCTGTCTGTGTTGTAGATATTTAGGTAGTTTATTGTGGTTTGGGCGTTTTTACACACAGACAAAACCTAAAATTATACAGCTTTTTAAATTTATTTTTTGTCATATGTAGGGCAATAAATCCCTGGCTTAAGGTGGCACTTGTCATGCTGTGACTGTGTCTCAGATGAATATGGAGACACAGAACTGTAAGACACAGACCTCAGCAACCACTGTACACTTCTTTAAAAACTGTACGGATTCAGATGATATAAAACATGCCCATCACAGATGTCTGATAAAGAAAGAAACATTTTACTGCAGTAATGTATAAACGATTAATAATAAACAAAATAGAATTGGGATGTGCTATGTTGAACGTATGGCAGTATATATAGCCCGTCCTTTGCATTTCAGTGCTAGTTATGATATTAGGCCTTTATGTAAAGAAATGACAAATAATTAGGCCTCTAATGAAAAACATCCCCACGATCAAATAAAGTGAAATTATAATTACATGCAGCGTGGATTGTGATAAAAACATGTGGCTGGCGGATCTTAACAAAACAAATAAACAAACAACAACAAAATAGCCAGTTGGCACGACCTTAAGAGAGCGCCCGCACATCTGACCACGTGATACGATTCCTGGAAAGTTCCTGGAAATTAGTCTTTTGTACACCAGTCTTTTTAAATGAGGATTGAGTCGTAAACGACGAGCGCACACACATACACACACACACACACACACAGAGAGAGAGAGAGAGAGCGAGAGAGAGAAAATTGGTTGGAATATCACTAAACTGCTGGAGAGAGTATATGTGTCCTTCTCGCTTGGCGCGCGTTGTAACGCGTTTGGACGCACGACGCGTGCGGCGCGCTTCCAGACAGCGCGAGAAAGGCAGTGTCGCCTTTTGTGGAGTGTCGCTCCCGAAAGAATCAATGCGAATACGAGAAAAAACGCGTCCCGATCTGCTGAGCATCAGGGCGTGCTAGTCTTTTGACAGCTAACCGATCAGTGTTTCCCATTAATAATAAATGATGGGTCTAAATCATGGTGCCACTGGAGGTCTGTAACGCGAAACGCGCTGGACTTGATTGCTCATTGCTTTCACTTAGAGAAAAGGTAAGTGATGTGCGCTTTCTCCGACTGTCGCCTTTCAGGCTCAAGTTTATGTTCAAAACGTGCTCTGCTTTATTTCCTCTGGTTCATAATGTCTCCGATAGCAGCGGCATCAAATGATTCGTGCATTTAGAAGCATCTTCATTTACACGTTTAGGAGAAAATCCATTCCTTTGTCTTATTTGCCACTCTTCTCATTTACCAGGAGCTCAGCTGTCAATGCAGTTTCCTAGTAAAGGCAGTTCTGCGTATTTTGCCGTCTATTAAAGGCAGCCTTTGTTTTGGAATATCACTAAACTGCTGGAGAGAGTATATGTGTCCTTCTCGCTTGGCGCGCGTTGTAACGCGTTTGGACGCACGACGCGTGCGGCGCGCTTCCAGACAGCGCGAGAAAGGCAGTGTCGCCTTTTGTGGAGTGTCGCTCCCGAAAGAATCAATGCGAATACGAGAAAAAACGCGTCCCGATCTGCTGAGCATCAGGGCGTGCTAGTCTTTTGACAGCTAACCGATCAGTGTTTCCCATTAATAATAAATGATGGGTCTAAATCATGGTGCCACTGGAGGTCTGTAACGCGAAACGCGCTGGACTTGATTGCTCATTGCTTTCACTTAGAGAAAAGGTAAGTGATGTGCGCTTTCTCCGACTGTCGCCTTTCAGGCTCAAGTTTATGTTCAAAACGTGCTCTGCTTTATTTCCTCTGGTTCATAATGTCTCCGATAGCAGCGGAATCAAATGATTCGTGCATTTAGAAGCATCTTCATTTACACGTTTAGGAGAAAATCCATTCCTTTGTCCTATTTGCTACTCTTCTCATTTACCAGGAGCTCAGCTGTCAATGCAGTTTCCTAGTAAAGGCAGTTCTGCGTATTTTGCCGTCTATTAAAGGCAGCCTTTGTTTTCCCCCCCCCCATGCACGTGTGCAAAGAGCCATTCACAGAAGACGGGCGTTTGTAATGTTAGTGGAGCTTATGAAGATTGTCATTTCGTTCTTTTATCCAATTAGAAACGAGAACAGAAAAAATAACAGGAGCGGACCTTTGGATTATTCAGTGGCGATCAACACGAAATGGCCACTTTCATTTGACCACTTTATGAGCATTTCAAATAACCAATGAGAAATGAGTTACAGGGGTGACATGACTATCATATGTGAGCACCACCCTCCTGAGGTGACAGTAGAGGTTGTCAGAATATTAAGGATTTACAGGACAAAAACAATTTTAAGGTAAGACGAAAGAATGGCTAGTAAAACTCCATTTCCGATCATGATAATGGATGTTAAATGACAGAACTGGAATCATTAGGCTATTGTTTAGTGTGGTATAACGTTCACACAAGCTTTTCATTTACTACGTGTTAAAAACAACTATAAATAGTAGATGGGAAGGGTTGTAACATTTTCCAATCTGCTGGAGACACAGATATTGAACAAAACAGGACAGTGCTGCTACGCTCACCACAATTGTGCGAGTGCAGCACATGCACACTCTTTCGTTTAGCTGTGTTTCATGCATTTTGCATATTTGTTTCCTGCTTTTAAACGTTTTTTAACGTTTCCCTATTGAATTAAATGTTTAAAATGAAATGAGGGTAATTGTTTTGAAGAATGAAATGCCATAAATGAATAAATACACGCATGTGCTCGTTTTCTTTTAGTGCTACACTCAGGGAATGTGGAAGATTGTAGCACCGACACTCCTTGTACTTCACATTCATTTACACAGTTTTAGGGATACATTGTCGTTTTCAAACATCTTTAATTTGCAGCAGACAAAAATGGAAATGTTATATCAACATTTTTTTTTTAAATAGCACAAAAAACGTTTACAGACGTTGAAACAAAACATGTTAAAACCCAATTTCGTATGTGTTGAAAGGCGTCTAAAACCTGCTTGTATTTTCAGATCGGCGCTGCCAAACAAAATCCACGGACTCTGTGGAAGACTTCTCACATGTTTTGGTTGATTGTAAGAGTCAGTCGTCTTTGAAGGATAGCCTAATTATAGACATTGACTGGATGCAGAACGCCGTTCTCCAATGACCTGTCACTCATCCGACTCCACGGAAAGCATCGAGAATGAAAGGCGATCGCAAACCGAAACCCAAGTCGCGGAGTCCGACCAGAGTCGCATTGCCACTGCCATGAGAGACCTTAAAAACACTGGTAAACGTTTACTGCTCGTTTTACTTACATATTCTTTCCGTTTGTTCCTGTAACACTCACTGAATTAATGTTGTAGCCTATGCAGCACAGCCACATGCAGTGATTCATCTGCTTAAAAAATAATTCTCATATTCATAATCATAATGACTTAAATTTGATGTTAAAAGTGTTAACAGCCGATTTGAAAAAGATTAACCTTCTATATACAATTTCAATCAAATGTTTAAAGGTCGTTTTAAGTGTACTTTAATCTCATAAATCAAACTTGCAGCAGGTCCACACTATATCATGCTTTTGGCATGGGTTTGTTGAAATATTCAAAGGAGCTGTGATTTCATTATATGAATATCAAATGGTTGAAAATGTTGATTCAGGACTGCTGTTTATATTTGTATTCATTTGTGTGATATCATTTGCATCTGGTGTGTTGTTTGAACAGAAGATAATCACGAACATATCGGAGAAGTGAATGTCAACAAAAAAAGTATGTAAATCCAGAAAAATCATTGTTTTAAGTCAATGTTTGAATTTAATACATTTAATTAATCCAAATAATTACATATTATGTTTGAAGTGCCTAATTCAAATGAATTCAACATCAAAAGACTGAAGTGTAATTAAAATGAGTTCAACATCAGAAAAGAATATTAAGAACTATATCAGATGTTACAAATACAAAAGTTTTTTGCAATTGCATTTTGTTCACCCCCACATATTGACTTCCAGGGGCATTTTTGTCACTTTCTGTGGCATTTGTCCCACAAGCCCCCATTTCTGACCCTGATATGAAGTATGTAAATGAATAGGAACTATGCAAATTTCCTGACAAAGCCTTTGTTTACATTTTCTGTTAGCTTTTTGTGCAACAAAAGTATGACGTTATCATGCCTATGAAGCTTTTGTTATATTTCCTGGTCTGGCTGGAACATTTGTCTTCAGTGGTTTGCGTCTCTGTCACATCCCTTTCTGGTTTCAAGTGCATGAGCAAATTTAGTCCAGCACTGCACTGTATGAAAGAGAAACGCAACATACCGTCATTATGATGCTACAGCGAGATCCATTTTTAGGTTTGTTTGTTGCTGAGAAAAACAATGCGAGTAGCTTTTGGGAACATCTGTCAAGCATCTGCCATCAAAAAATGTCAGATACTCCCAAGACGAATAGTCATGGTTTAGTTCAGTATTTCAGGAAAAATATGTCATTTATGATACAGTGATACAGTGCAGACTTGTTTAGTCTCGCTACGCCACAGTTGCCATAATGTTTTCAATTAATGTTCATTTAACAGGACATTTCAGAAATGCTTGGTTTTTGCTGTATTATCGGATGTGAATTAGCTCTTTAAATCAGTTGAGATGTTGAAAGACGCATTGCATCCTTTCTAAAAGCCAAGATCTCTGCAGTGACTCAGAAATCAAGCGTAGCGTTAGTTCTGGCAGGTCACGTTAGTCAAGCTCGCATCAGCTGACTCTCAGCTGATCCCCATCAACCTATGGGAATACGACACCTATCTAAGCATTCATATATAAGGTCCCGCAGTATCAGCAGTTTTCGCATTGCTCAATAGCTAATTACCCACCTCCATCCCCAACTCCTCCTCTGTCAGTCAGGATTCAGCCTTCTGATTCTCCTTTGAATCAGACTAATTCTAAAATATGTACATAACATTATTGAACTTTAATGATATCTGCAATGCATTTATGTTGGTTCTGTTCTGTTTACCCTGGGGGAGGTTATCGCTGCTGTCCCTGCTCTCATTCATGCTAGGCTGCATGGATGCGCAGGGAGTTCTTGCCCAGAACGGAACCATACCGCCAATCCAAACTGTATGCTAATTGTCAATCATCTTTGACGATAGTGGTCCTGACAAAAAATGCCTTATAAATCAACAGCCGTTCGAGCATAATAGTCAGGATGTGACTGTAGCAGTGACGGTTTTTGTGAGCGTGTCCTTAGAAGGACACGTTATGGGTCTCATGTTACACAAGCAAACGACTGAAACGGATACTGTGGAAGAGGATACGTATGACCATCTCTGTGTCTTCTTTTCTTGGAAGCAGGCTGGTATTGGGGCAGCCTTACAGCCAATGAAGCCAAGGAGATCCTGCAGGACACGTCGGAGGGCACATTTTTGGTCCGAGACAGCTCTCAGAGGGACTACCTCTTCACCATCTCCGCCATGACATCTGCATGACGATAGTGGTCCTGACAAAAAATGCCTTATAAATCAACAGCCGTTCGAGCATAATAGTCAGGATGTGACTGTAGCAGTGACGGTTTTTGTGAGCGTGTCCTTAGAAGGACACGTTATGGGTCTCATGTTACACAAGCAAACGACTGAAACGGATACTGTGGAAGAGGATACGTATGACCATCTCTGTGTCTTCTTTTCTTGGAAGCAGGCTGGTATTGGGGCAGCCTTACAGCCAATGAAGCCAAGGAGATCCTGCAGGACACGTCGGAGGGCACATTTTTGGTCCGAGACAGCTCTCAGAGGGACTATCTCTTCACCATCTCCGCCATGACATCTGCGGGACCCACCAACCTGCGTATCGAATACAAGGACGGTAAGTTCAAGCTAGACTCCGTGGTGCTGGTCAAACCCAAACTCAAGCAGTTCGACAGCGTCGTCCATCTCGTGGAGCATTATGTGCAGCTGTCACGGACATCTTTTAAGGGCAACACTACCCCTCTCGCCCCATCCAAAGGCACCGTGCAGCTGCTGCTCACGACTCCGGTGTACACGGCCACACCGTCTCTGCAGCATCTGTGTCGTATTGCCATCAATAAAACCACACGGCAGGTACAAGAACTCCCTTTGCCGAACCGGCTGAAGGATTACCTGACAGACTACACTTATAATGTATAGAACCAAATGGACAATGATTACCATAAGTGATGGGGTTCTATGGAACATAGACCCAGTGATAATGAGGTGCTGATGTACTGTTTAGGATCTTTTGCCTGGGATCCCTCATCTTGTGCCCAAGGACTACTTTAAAAGGATAGTTCACTGAAAAAAATAAAATCTGTCATTAATTACTCACCCTCATGACGTTCCAAACATTTTTGGCTTTCTTTCTTCTTTGGAACACAAGAAAATATATTCTGTTTTTGTCCATATAATGAAAGTCAATGGGGTCCAAAAGAACACTGTACTCCATTGGCTTTCATTGTATCAACATTTTTCAAAACATATTCCATTTTCTATGTTAAGATTTGAAATGAGGGTGAGTAATAAATGACAGAATTTTAATCTCTGGCTGAACTATCCCATTAAAACGGAGAATACCATAACAATGTTAAGTGTCTTTCATTGCGCACTTAACAAGTTTACGGCCTGTAGATATTCTACAGTCAATTTTTTAATGAGCGAGTGAGCAGTATCTGTAAGGAGCATTGGCCTACATGAACATCTGTGAGTTTCTACCCGTAATACGCACATCAGATATACAGGTGGAAGAGTTCAGCCAAAAATGAATAGTTCAACCATATATCATTCCAAAAAACTTTGGATTTCCTTTATTCTGTAGAACATAAAAGAAGATATTTTGAAGATTGATGCAGCTGTTTTTGTCTATATATTGAAGTCAATTGGGTCCAAAACTATCAAGCTCCAAAAAGGACATAAAAGTATACTCTTAAAAATAAAGGTTCCAAAAGGAGTTTTTTTTTTTTGCAGTGATGCCATAAAGGAACTATTTTAGGTTCCCCAAAGAAGCTTTCAGTGAACAGTTCTTTAAAAAAAAACATTTTCCTATAGTTTGAAGAACATTTTAATAATCTAAAGATCCTTTTTCCACTATAAAGAACTTTTGTGCAATTGAAACCATGGATGTTAAAGGTTCTTTGTGAAACCATCTAAAGAACCTTTATTTTTAGCATCAAACTAATTAATTCGACTCATCTGGCATATTCTGAATCTTCTGAAGTTTAAGGGTTATTTACTCTCCAATCGTTGATCAAAGCACACAAATGCAGACCACATTAACTATGCCGGCACAAACGCCCACTGGCGTCAAACCTCATTGGGATGTTAATTAATGTTTGAGGTATTTTCTTTTATGTTCCACAGAAGAAACCAAGCCATATGAGTTTGGAACAACATGAGGGTAACATGAGTAAATGATGACAGAATTTTCATTTTTGGGTAAACTATCCTTTTATTGCAGCAGGTGTCTGGGATGTTCTGCATCCTGTGTTTGAGACATTGGAGTTTGAAACTGTATGCTTTTTGACTATGTTTAATTAGCTTATTATCCATGTTATATTTTTGTACTGTAGTCATAGATGATCATTTGATGTCATGGTTGCCCAAGGAACTGCTGGGAACAGGGAAGTACCTTGCGATATGATATACTGTATATCCCAATACGTGTCATCATGATAATGTAATACCTACTGAACAATTACATGAAAAATAGCCCTTTTTAGTCGATTTGAAACAAAAAATGTATTGAACATTTACACTACCATTCAAAAGTTTGGGGTTAGATTTTTGTAATACTTTTATTCAGCTAGGATACATTAAATTGATCAAAAGTGTCAGTAAAGATATGTATAATGCTACAAAGGATTTTCTGTTCTTTTGAACTTTATATTCATCAAAGAATCCTGAAAAAAATGTAATGCAGTTTCATCAAACATATTATTAAGCAGCACAATGATTTCTGAAGGATCGTGTGACACTGAAGATTGGAGTAATGACTGCTGAAAACTCACCTCATTACAGGAATAAATTACATTAATATATTATCAAATAGATAACAGTTTAAAATTTCACATTACTTTTTTGCTGTATTTTTGATCAAATTAATGCAGCCTTGCTGAGTATAAGAGCCTTCTTTCAAAAACATACTAACCCCTAACATACTAACTTTTGAATGCCAGTGTACATAAAAAACCTTTTAATTTATAAGCCCAAACTTGCTCAAACAGGTCCTGACCATTCCCCAACATTTAAGGGTGCGTACTTTTGCAAATAAAATATACCACCGGCTTAGTATTTTATTGCACATTCTGAACCAAGTGGTAATTTAGCAGCATGGTTTGTTTCAGCTTTAGTTGCATATGGTCAACAAGTATTGGCCTGTGTTAACCCTACCTCACGAGGGCGTCGTAATAAACCTGCATGCTGATTGGTCGTATTTGGAGAATATTTGATTCTATACTGAATCGCAATTTTTGACACAGACCAAAAATAACGTACTAGGTCAGAAGCGTCTTATTCTCTCCTCACTGCTATTTGTGGAGCGGTTATAAGAAAAATGGGATTTTCCTGTCAAGTTCCTCACTAATCTGACCTCCTGTTTTGGTTTATGGGCCGCTCAATGTATTCTATTCACTATTGTGCTTGGGTGCTAAATTCTTGCATTTTCTCTTTATGCTTATCTTTCAGTTAAAGCATTCGAATAGTATTATCTCAAAAGCATTGTGATAAAAATGATTACCGACTGGTGGCTTGATTTTGCCATTATTTTTAAATTAAAAAGTTCCCTATTTTATATGACTTAATTTAATAAACCAATCCACCAGAAATTCCTAAATCACTGAGAAATTGATCTCAGATCAGCATAAAAGGTATTTCTGCCAACATCTCTCAGATCCAGTATACTCTTGTCAATTTTATTCGTCGTCTTCCTTGAGGACATGGTATATCTAAGTCTGATATGATCTCTTTGCCACTACAAAAGCCCACTAATATAATTTTACAACATAGTGCTGCATCAGGGGTGAATGGATTTTCTCCCAAAAAAGTGAGAAATAAAAGCAAGCATAGCTTTAATTCCTGTTCTGCGTCTAATTTTGGTAATGTGGACTTGGGAATTATAGCTTCATTTTAGTGAAAAAAAAGCCCAAAACTAATTCACTCTTTCATTTCTGCCCCCAAATGAGCCAATCGTGTGCAGAACTGATAATAACACCCATCATCAAGGTCCCACACCACAACCTGGCAACCTCTCAAACCTTCAGAAAACCCACATCTTATGCAGACTTCTGGTTTCTAATGTTCTGAAAAAATACAGATAATCCAACTGTATTTGGTGTTTGGAAATTGTTTGTTTGGTTGTTTAGTTAGTAGGAAGATTCACTTGTGCTTTTTTAACACAAAAGTGTTTGCACGCATGACTTTGTTTTGCATGATTTCTTGTATGAAATTTGCCCAGTCCATTTTCAATTTCTACAGCTTTTCTTGTCCCCTCCATGTTTGTTTTTCTTAGCTTGCACCAAAGCATGGAATTTCTGAGTAACATTTTGAGTCACTTCATATTTTCCAGGAATTTTTTGAGTGAATTGTGTGTACAAAGGCTATATATTTGCAGACGTTTGCTCGAGAGGCAACTGTTTACCCGATCAGCGCAAGAAAGTGACTATTTCTCTGTTAAATATTGACACCATTCCCAAGAAAGAGCTGCTAAATGCAGGAGTTCTCCTTGTCACAGCACAAATTACTGTAGTTGTTTAGTCAAAGATAACGTGGAGATAGCACTGTTTTCCAGGTAATCTAAACTTCATTGGAGTTTACGTGGAAATTGGATGTAATTGACCCCACAAGTGCACCGTCGTTTCTGCAGTCACAAACACATTTAAGTGTTAGCTTCAGCATGTTAGAAGAACAACGTCATCCTATCCAAGTTCTCTTTTTTATTTTCACTACCCCCAAGACTGAAGACTGAATCTGAAAACCATATCTGAGTCTTTAGAAATAAAGTCAATGTTTAAAGTTACACCAACAAAACTGTTAAATTGACATTCTCTCTCTCTCTCTCTCTCTCTCTGTGTGTGTGTGCATATACATATATATATATTGTCATGGTAACCATACTTTGTCAAAATATCAGATTAAATTATTTATAAAATATCATAAAGCTAAATTACGTAACACTTTATAACAAATGACATCAAAACATTGACATTATTTCTATATAATTTATGGACCACATTTAAAAATATTGAGCATTTTTTCAAAGTCCTGCAAGGAGTCATTGAAGTATCTATCTATCTATCTATCTATATATATTTTTTTTTTCCAGGGAAACAATTATATTTTTGTTTGTTATTTTTCTTTAGACAAAACATTGAATTAAAGGTAGTTGGATGGGATTTCAGAATAAATCTTCCAAGTGACAGGGAATAAGAATGTAGAAAGATGCACAAACACATATGTTTACCTGAAATTTGTCAGTGGTTGAGGGCAAGAGGACCTGAACTGACCCAGTGAGGAATATTCTGGAGCTCACATCTCTTATCTCTTTACATGACTGGACCTGACACTGGCTTGGTGAATATCTTAACAGCTCATTCAGTCAAGTAAACAGGATTTAAAAGGTCAGCTCAGGGACGAGGGCTATTGATCTCTCATCTCATATCACATGCACAGAAAACAATTCAATGGGCTACTTCAGCTTAAAGTCTTCATGTTGTACTGTACATCTGATAAAAACACAGCCTATTGTATGTTTGCATTGCAAAGCACGCTTCACAAAAGCATGTGACACCTTTTGCATCATTACGGCATTATCAAGACCAGATGATGATAATATCAAACTGTTCATTCACATTTGAGACAGGTGTGGTGCAACTTGCAGAAACACAACATATTGGACATCATTCAGAGCTAAGGGTGATAATTATAAAACAGATTCTAAACATTAGGTGATAAAACATTAGATTAGATGAATTCGATTAAACTAAAAATTGAAAATGTTTGAAACATGCAATGACTGTACAGTATGCAAATATCCATGTCCTTAATCGGCTCTGCAGATGCTTCCAATTTAGTTTGAAGCCCATAATGGATTCTCTGAAGGGGAAATCCCTGCAAACAGATTTTAAAAAGCTTAGTGTAAAACGTGCTTGATGCTAAGGCAGGCCTTATGTACGTTGTATAAGGAGCCATACCTTAAATGTAATGAATTGAACATATAGGGCATTATTTTGCATGAGGAAACGCTGCAAAAGGCAATGATGGTATGGACCCTCAGGATTATACATGCAAATATTACCACGGGGGATTTACATAGATACATCCAGCTTCTTGCAGCTCATATGCCATAATATTCAAATAATCCGCTCTTCCTGGAACAACTGTTGCTCTACAAAAAGAAAGCTTAGCGTTTCAAACAAGTGGTTTAACCGAACGTCATGAGGACAAGAAAATATACAACAGAACTCTCCTAATCAGGAGACAATGTCAGCAATAGGCAGCTTTATATACAATATAGCCTACAATGTTTTTGTAAGAGTCATCACAGGACAAACTGGAAAGACAAGAGCATCACTCAATTATATCACTCGCTCTACATCATGTGGAAAGAAGAGAGAAAAGGAGAGACAGAAAAAGAAAGGAGTGTAGTTATTATCCTTCAGAAAAGTTTACCGTGGTAACAGTTTAAGCCTAAACATCAGAGTTAACTATTTTACATGAATATATACAGTACATGAATGTGGGAAGAATGAAAAATTCTGTACAATACAATATATCAAATCCACTGTGAAATAAAAGTGCAAGTAATACTAAAACTTATACTGTGATATGTATTTGTTTTAGATATTATGTCAGTGAAATTTTTATTATGAAAATGTATTAAATTTTTGTTAGTAAATTATATAATTGCAGGTAAGTACTTCTCTCTCTCTCTCTCTCTCTCTCTCTCTCTCTCTCTCTCTCTATGTGTGTGTGTGTGCATATACATATATATATTTTGTCATGGTAACCATACTTTGTCAAAATATCAGATTAAATTATTTATAAAATATCATAAAGCTAAATTACGTAACACTTTATAACAAATGACATCAAAACATTGACATTATTTCTATATAATTTATGGACCACATTTAAAAATATTGAGCATTTTTTCAAAGTCCTGCAAGGAGTCATTGAAGTATCTATCTATCTATCTATCTATATATATATATTTTTTTTCCAGGGAAACAATTATATTTTTGTTTGTTATTTTTCTTTAGACAAAACATTGAATTAAAGGTAGTTGGATGGGATTTCAGAATAAATCTTCCAAGTGACAGGGAATAAGAATGTAGAAAGATGCACAAACACATATGTTTACCTGAAATTTGTCAGTGGTTGAGGGCAAGAGGACCTGAACTGACCCAGTGAGGAATATTCTGGAGCTCACATCTCTTATCTCTTTACATGACTGGACCTGACACTGGCTTGGTGAATATCTTAACAGCTCATTCAGTCAAGTAAACAGGATTTAAAAGGTCAGCTCAGGGACGAGGGCTATTGATCTCTCATCTCATATCACATGCACAGAAAACAATTCAATGGGCTACTTCAGCTTAAAGTCTTCATGTTGTACTGTACATCTGATAAAAACACAGCCTATTGTATGTTTGCATTGCAAAGCACGCTTCACAAAAGCATGTGACACCTTTTGCATCATTACGGCATTATCAAGACCAGATGATGATAATATCAAACTGTTCATTCACATTTGAGACAGGTGTGGTGCAACTTGCAGAAACACAACATATTGGACATCATTCAGAGCTAAGGGTGATAATTATAAAACAGATTCTAAACATTAGGTGATAAAACATTAGATTAGATGAATTCGATTAAACTAAAAATTGAAAATGTTTGAAACATGCAATGACTGTACAGTATGCAAATATCCATGTCCTTAATCGGCTCTGCAGATGCTTCCAATTTAGTTTGAAGCCCATAATGGATTCTCTGAAGGGGAAATCCCTGCAAACAGATTTTAAAAAGCTTAGTGTAAAACGTGCTTGATGCTAAGGCAGGCCTTATGTACGTTGTATAAGGAGCCATACCTTAAATGTAATGAATTGAACATATAGGGCATTATTTTGCATGAGGAAACGCTGCAAAAGGCAATGATGGTATGGACCCTCAGGATTATACATGCAAATATTACCACGGGGGATTTACATAGATACATCCAGCTTCTTGCAGCTCATATGCCATAATATTCAAATAATCCGCTCTTCCTGGAACAACTGTTGCTCTACAAAAAGAAAGCTTAGCGTTTCAAACAAGTGGTTTAACCGAACGTCATGAGGACAAGAAAATATACAACAGAACTCTCCTAATCAGGAGACAATGTCAGCAATAGGCAGCTTTATATACAATATAGCCTACAATGTTTTTGTAAGAGTCATCACAGGACAAACTGGAAAGACAAGAGCATCACTCAATTATATCACTCGCTCTACATCATGTGGAAAGAAGAGAGAAAAGGAGAGACAGAAAAAGAAAGGAGTGTAGTTATTATCCTTCAGAAAAGTTTACCGTGGTAACAGTTTAAGCCTAAACATCAGAGTTAACTATTTTACATGAATATATACAGTACATGAATGTGGGAAGAATGAAAAATTCTGTACAATACAATATATCAAATCCACTGTGAAATAAAAGTGCAAGTAATACTAAAACTTATACTGTGATATGTATTTGTTTTAGATATTATGTCAGTGAAATTTTTATTATGAAAATGTATGAAATTTTTGTTAGTAAATTATATAATTGCAGGTAAGTACTTGTGTCCATGTTTTAAACACTGTAGACTAAAATAAAATATAAACAGACAGTAAGTTTATCCTGCAGGAATAGTGGCCTGTTTAATATGAGTTCTGCAGGAATGAGCAAGATGATTCCTGCACAAGGCTTAAAAAAATCTTAAATTTTCCTACAGATATATATTTAATCCTACAGGCATTCAAAATTCCTGTATGTAGTGGGGCGGTCCTGCAGGACTCCTGTAGGAATGTCTCTATCCTGAAGGAATTGAGTTCTGTCCTGCAGGATCCCTGCATGATCCCTGCACAGAAAGCAGTATTCCTTCAGGAATTCCTGCAGGATATTTTTGTAAGGGTTGCTCTAGTTAGGCCTATTGTTACCACAATAAACTATATATTTATGCATAAGAAAAGACAAAAACATTACAAATATTTATACAAATGTGGTGCATTAATAATACAGAACGGTTGTAAATATTTTAATATATTAGCCTACCTAGAAAATCCAGCTTTATATTGAGGGTCTTTGTCTGAAAAGGATAAAAATAACTGTATTATGTTAGGTTATAATACAATTTCGCTGGATATTTTTTGTTTGTGACCATCATTTCTGCACAATTATTAGCCTTAAATGACCCAATTTATGTACACACATTACACAAATGCGGGAACAACAATGATGCCGAAAACTAGTTCCTCCTGCGCCTCGTTTCCAGCCGGTAGAAATAAATGCGACATGACGCGGAAAACTCATACACAATGTATTACACACAACAGCACAAACTTGTGATATTATTATTTACCACCGTAGATATATATTCATAAACATCACTTTATGGGCATTTACCAACAACAACTGATAGGTTAACGAAGAAGTTTTCCCGGCTGTTTTAGCAAGCTGTTCATAACTTCAGACAGTTGTAGTGGTTAACAATCTGGGATTTTACTCAGTCATCGGGTTCAAATATGGACCCAAAACACAAAAGACTGCTCCGATCTCAGCGGCTTTTTCTGGCCGAGGATCTTATAGTGGAAGACATGATCATACAGTATTTATACCAGGAGGAGATCTTAACGGAGAGTCATTTAGAGGATATTAGATCGGTGTCGTCTTATAGGGAAAAAACGCTCAAGCTGCTGGATATTCTGCCCACGCGTTGTTCGCTCGCCTTCCATCACTTTATTCAGTCATTAGAGAAAGATTTTCCCTGGGTCACTTTATGGGCATTTACCAACAACAACTGATAGGTTAACGAAGAAGTTTTCCCGGCTGTTTTAGCAAGCTGTTCATAACTTCAGACAGTTGTAGTGGTTAACAATCTGGGATTTTACTCAGTCATCGGGTTCAAATATGGACCCAAAACACAAAAGACTGCTCCGATCTCAGCGGCTTTTTCTGGCCGAGGATCTTATAGTGGAAGACATGATCATACAGTATTTATACCAGGAGGGGATCTTAACGGAGAGTCATTTAGAGGATATTAGATCGGTGTCGTCTAATAGGGAAAAAACGCTCAAGCTGCTGGATATTCTGCCCACGCGTTGTTCGCTCGCCTTCCATCACTTTATTCAGTCATTAGAGAAAGATTTTCCCTGGATCAGAGACAAATTACTGGGACTGTGTGCTGAAGACAAGGAGCCTCTCCCTCCGTCCTTCACAGGTGAGTCCTGCGGGGCGGGCGTGCGTTCTTGTGTTCGTTTGAGCTAAATCTGACACAGAACATCCCTTTGGGCTATCCTTAATTGCAAAAACGATTCATAAATAATATCAACAAAACGTAAGTAAGTACAAGTAAGCACAAATGCCCTAAATGTTCTCGTTTGGATATGTGTGGGGGTCATGTCCCCACAAAATGAAGTGAAATGAAAATCAAAACATGTATGAACGTTTTGTGTGAGGTTTATAGAAAACACAATTTTCTCATTAAAGTAATAAATAAAGAAAATAAAAATCATCACCATAACTACACACACTCACACTGGTTTCCATGTTATATGGGGGCATTAAAGGGGTCATATGATGCGATTTCAAGTTTTCCTTTCTCTTTGGAGTGTTACAAGCTGATTGTGCATAGATAAGATCCCTGAAGTTGCAAAGACTAAAGTCTCAAAACCAAAGAGATATTCTTTATCAAAGTTAAGACTCTGCCACACCCCCCTAAAACGGCTCGTTCTAACACGCCCCCACATATCTACCTCACTATGTGGAAATATTAGCATAATGCCGCCCAAATGTTCACGCAAAGAAAGAAGGCGTGGTTTCAGTAACCGCAGTTAGTGTTGAAGCAGCATGTCAGGGAGACGCTGTGTGTTTCTAGGCGAAAGCAAAAGCACTTTATTTGGCCTTCCGAAAGTAGATGCATTTAGGAATCTTTAAGATTACTTACAACAGAACAGCAATGCATTTTATGGACGACCGTTTCGTGAACCTAGGAGAGGAGGTAATTCTGACTTTGCTATGACAATCTGGCGCTTCAGAATCAGCTAATGTTTTGTTATTAGTTTAAGTAGTTGCTATTGACTGTTCAAATGCGGAGTTTTGCGCATCGTGTGTGTGTGTGTGTGCGCGCGTGTGTGTGAGAGAGACCAGCTTCATCACTGTGTCTGTCACGCAACTCTGTTAATAATTATCTTTAAAAAAGCATCATATGACCCCTTTAATGGTTTATATACTGTACAAACTATATTTTCTATCCCCTGACCCTAACCGTACCCCTAAACCTACCCCTCACACAAAACTTTCTTCTGTTTTAGATTTTCGAAAAAGATCATTCTTTATGGTTTATAAGCTTGCTTTCTCATGGGGACCAAAAAAATGTGCCCACAAGGTCAAAATTTACTGGTATTAGGGGACATTTGATCCTCATAACGTAGGGAATACCAGGTACACACAAACACAAAAACATGTGTGTGAACATTATTGTTAACATAAGAGTGGGTGTGGCCATTTGTAACTTCAATGTGTGAGGCGTCATTTGTATGTTCTGGTGTCATTTTAGTAAGAAAAGTCTTTAGTGTTACTCTTCTATTTATTTATCTATAGCTCCTAATGAATCGGAAGTCTTGCACATTCACAGAAAATAGTTTACGTTACTTCCGTCTTGCCTGTACTGTTTGGACAAATGTATCCAGACACTGAGGAGGACATGTCTCACGTGTGTGTGAGAGCACAGATATATAATATAAAAATACATATAATATATAATAGATAAAAAAAACAATAATAATAAAGTAGAATAGATATTAATAATATTATTATGCTATTATTGTATAGCTTTTAATTTATTTTATATTTCATTATATAGTTGTTATTTCACTAATATGAAATATAAACAAATAAAAATACAAATAAATAAATATAACAAGCTAACACATCATTAACTAAAACATACATGTATTTTATTTGTAACATTATTCTAAGCCATTTCAAGGCACCAGTTGCACTTCATGTTAAGTTTTTCGTAGTCAGACGTGTTTCTGTTCCCTCGTATTCCCTCTCAGTTTCACCTGATTTCACTCTCTGCCTCATAATGAAACCATTCATCTTTTAATTGAGATGAGGTTATGAAAGCTGGAGGTCAAGCCAATACATCTCCTATTTCTGACCAGAAGGTTAAATAAAAAGTGCTTTAATTGCCCTTCCTCTGATCCCTAACACTAAACCCTCTGCCTCTGTTACTAATTCTAGCAGAGAACCTAAATGCATTTAAAGCATTGCAAATTTCCATATGATTTGAAAACTAATGTTTCTGTGTATTTACAGTCTGTGAAATGCCTTATTTACATCCACAACAGTCTGGTTCAGCCGCACAGATATTTGTGAAAACAAAGGAGTTCTCTGCGTGCACTGCGTATATTTCAGCTGCTGTTTTGCTGAAAGGCGTCTTATTATCTGCTGTCTGTTGTTTTCCCATGTGAGAATGGAGCACCCACTAAAAACCCTACATTGACACTCCACATCCCCCCTTTTTAGTCAGTCAACCAAACCCCAAAACACATTTGGAAAAAAAAAAAAAACCTTCCCTCCTAGAAAAAACAAGACGTAAAAAGAAAAACAGAAGAAGAGCAAAGAATAAAAAACAAAAAGAAAGCTGAAGTTGTGTTTTGAGTCTCTCAAGGCCAGGCCGGCTTGGTGCGCTGCCCTGGTTTTCCATGAAAGCTGCATTAATTCCTGGCACTAGCTCTGCGGCCCAGCACTCTCGCTGTGCATCCTCCTTTCTAGGAAAAACATAATCAAAGCCGTTTGTTGGCTGCTCTCCCTCTCCCTCCTGTCTCGAGTTACTGAACTGAAGATTTTATTGACTTACTGTGGTTCAGATGGTAATAAATTGGGGGATGGGGTGGGGTTAGAAAGAAAGCATAAAAGAAATGGGGAGGGAAAAAAGTAGCATGCTTGCAAATTTCTAGGAAGTCGAGGACGAGCGCTACTCTGAGCAAACATTCTTCACACTTAAGCACTCACTTTAATTTTAAGCTCTTGTTAGCTTAATAGGTTTGAGTCGTCAGTGGCCGTTCAGGGACACAAACAATTGTGGTGCTTTGTTCTTCCGTTCATACTTTTTTTTTCTTCAGCTGCTCATATTATTAATATTCATGTCACTGTGAATTTGGATCTTAACATCAATGATGTCATTCTGTTGGCATGGGAACGTGTTTTTCATTCAACTGGCTTTCATTCTCCATCGTTGTGACAGGCCCTCAATCTGCAGTATCACGGACACATTAATAAATTATACGCATGTTCTGGTTGAATTTAACAAAGCACGGTCCTCATGATCTTATTACCTAGTTTCGAATCCAGATCAGTCAAATGGGGACACAATATCCTCGTTTTAAAGTCCATTTGCACACCTGTGAGGCATGTGTATTTGCATGTTTATTTATGAGATGCTCGCTTTAAGGAAAATGATGCAAATTGTGTCTTAAGCCTTCACTCGCGGGTTCCTGGAACTTATCGTACCTGATGCTGTAAGGTTTTGAATTTTAAATTGTTTACAAGGCTAAATGTTCTGTGGCAGGCTTCTAGACAAATTTATCACAACTGGCTTCCATTATAGCAGAAGTAAGCATGTTCAGAAACCTTGGTGACTGCTTGTTAGTGCAGTTGTGAGTCATTGTGGGAGCTTTCCTTTCCAAACGGACTTGTATGAGACCTTGATCTGACAAAACGCCATATTTTTTGTAGTTGTTTTGTTCTTTATTTTGCCAGTTTTAGCCAAAGAACTGTCAACAATGGTGAAGTATTAAAACTAATAATCTAACATTAAATAAAAAAAATTATATATATATATACTGTATATGTATGTTCACTATTAAACTAAATATTAGCATAGCATTATAGCATTGTTTTGCATTCCCTATCTGAACATATCTTGAAGATATTTTTATGTTGAGAAAGTTGAGAAACACTGGTCTACCTGATCAGTAACGTGTCCACCAGACTGGTGCTACCAGTCATCAGACTACGATGACTGTAGTAGCCTATCTGTTATTTGCACAGCTGCGTTTGCGTGTGTCTTATATCTTCAGGTCAATCCCTTATACGTTGTTAGTCACCCTCTGTAATACTCAGCAGCTGCCGATTCATCTCAAAAGCTTTTGCACTGTTCTGTACATGTTTACTTTTACAGTGTATGGCAGTGTCGCCCACAAAGACTATAAAAAAGCTTGAGAACTAAAGTAGATATCCAGAGCATAATATTATCTGATGGCATATGGAATACATATGGTAAACATTCACATACAATCCTGTTTCTGTATAACAGAAGCACAGAATTTTGTCTTTTGTGTGCTATATGACTGCTGGACTGCAAGTGCAACCAAAATAAAATATCTGTTGTTTCAAACCTGTATGGTGTTTTTTTTTCTCTCAAGTGGACACAAATATATGATTTTTTTTGAAGAAATAAGAGATCCCGAGTTCATAGTGAGCAAGTAATGTCAATCTCCAAACGGAACAAAAAAAAAGTTGTCCATACAAATCATAATTTATTCTATATTTTTTTAGAACGCCTGAATGGTTCCAACTTTACGGTGTAAAATAACTGTTTTCTGTTTGAATGAATTTAAGACGTAATTTATTATTGTGATGGCAAAGCTGAATTTTCATCAGCCATTACTCTAGTATTCAGTGTCACATGATCCTTCAGAAATCAATGTAATGTTTTTATGAAATAGAAATATATTGTTACAAAAATATCACTTTTGATTAATTTAAAGGCACAATATGCAAGATTTTTTTATTAAAATATCCAAAAACCACTAGAACAGTGTTATATATTTAGCTGACTTGTGTACTTACAGTATCCCAAATGTTTCGAATAATGTTTAATTCCAGAGAAATAAGCAATTTTAACTAGTGACACGGACCGTGTCGCCTGGCAATGACGCCCCTCGATTTCCGTTTTGTTTTGTAGAAAACATGGAAACACCAAAGACGCTTTAATATGTTGTGCGGTTTAATCGACCGGCGACGACCGCACAGAGTAGCATTATAACAGAACTTTCAAACGTATATCTAATATGATAAAACAGCGCTGCTTTTTTCCCCCCACATATGCACGACGGGAAGGAGCGGAAGCGGTCGACTGTGGCATAACAAAAGCTCCGCTGCTTTCGAGCCGTGTGTCACGCTGGTTCAGTGGCCTCGTTTCGCTTCAACGGCTTTCGACCTCACCCTGCTTCATTCTACTGCGTTAATAAATCATTAGCTCATCCATGAACATGATTTCTGCCCGAGTCCCATCGGATTGCATCGGCTGTGGGGATGAAGACGACAACTCCCACGATTCCACACTCGGCGTCATCAAACTACGCCTTTGTTTCTTTGTTTGTTTTGAATACGCGCCCTCTTATATATATATATTACAGTGAACAGATCAAGTCCACTACATAGCAAAAAATAGATTCAATGAATGGGTCATCATTTTAGGAAGTTAATGATAAAAACATATAAGCAAGGTAATAATAGCAAGCAAGACAATCACATTAGTGTCAGCTAAGCCAAACTCTTCTCCTCATGCAATTGGCCGTCTCTCTGCCTCGCCCAGGGAGGGATGGAGAAAGGCACTTTTAATAATTTGCCTTTGAAGCAAGCCAGCAAAGTTCTGTTCACTTGTTTTTGTTGGAACATCACATTGACTCTCCTCCGTTCCCTCCACCCATCTCTAGTACAGTCTGATTTCCAGGAACGTTGGCTTGAAGAGAGTCTTCCTGTCAGAAAGTGGAAGCAGGCTGCAGCTCGGCCATTCCAGCTGGCCTCTACACTCGGACTGACTCCTTGATGTGCTGCATCTGTTAGGAATGTTTGTATTGATGAACAGAGATGACACTCTCATATTGATGCAGTTTGGAGATGAGGTTTATCGAGATCAGATGTTGAGCATCCACAGCCAATTTAGCCACATAAGATTGTTTTATTTTTTGTTCATATGCCCAAAGCCAAGGCTTACACATGGGGTCTATTAAGGACAATAAATAGGTCTTAAATTTATGCTCCATTAGAACATTTTGAGCCACTTCATAACACAAAACCATCTGTCTCAAGTTGCTTGTCTCAGGCAAATCTTTTACAGTTCTCTCACAACTGAGAGATTTAGTGTCTGCACGCATTGCTCCCATTCTGATTTATATGGAGCTGGATTAATAACTTCAAACAAACCACAATAACTGCTTTTGTGCTGGCCCAGTCAGTTCAGATTTGTACTTTCCCTGTCCATATTTGCACATAAAAATAAGATACAAAGCAATACAATGTATTTGTGCAAGCAGTTTTTTTCCAGAATGAATTTTTTTCTTTACTTAAAAAGTTCTATAATAACTTAAGTTAAACATGGCAAACATATTAAGCTTACCCAAGAAAGTCTATTCTTGTGGAAGAGATACTGATCCCTGACAACAAAGTTATCAGACCAGAGCTATTAATGCTAATCAAAAACATAATCAATTATAATTTTTTTATATTATTGATATATATATATATATATATATATATATATATCAAGCTATTAATTTAATTACAAACATCATAATTTGTTATTTTGAAATAATAAATTAAATAAATAATAATAATGATATAAAATATAATTTATATATATATATATGTATATACACACACACACACATTTGATTTTATAAATAATTTTATATAATTGTAATAATGTAATATTTTGGTTTTATATGCATAATTATATATATATAATTTATATACATTTAAATTATATTTTATATCATGTACATTAATGTTTTTTTAAATTAAACTGTTATTTTATTTATCAATTATTTTAATTAAAATTATTAAAAAAAATATATATTATGTTTTTAATTCACATTAATAGCTCTAGTCGGATAGTCCTTGTGTCAGTGTTTATACTTTCCACAAAGGATGTATTTTCTTAGGTAAACTTAATTCATTCCATTCTCTTTCTTTAGATGTACACGCATAAGCCACATACTTTCCATTGAAAAGAGGTGTAATCTTATCTTTTAGTCTGCAGCATGTTCAGTTTAGAGCACATCCAGTTATCCAACTGGAATTCCTTCCTTGGGCAGCAGAATAGCGGTCATAAGGAATGAGATGGAACGTTTGAAGCCTGATAAAAACCGGAATGTTCTGAAATAACGTTTGAATTTATGACATGTGCAACCTCAGAGGAAGCCAGACCATTTTAATAAAAAAAAATTGATTTGAGGCTGTAATAATAATGAAGTAACTATGCTTATATATATATTCATTTGAAGCTAATTTGAAGTAATTTGCAGCCATTAGCATGATGTCCAGAGCATGTTTGTCTTCACACAAGCACCTGTATTGAGCCTAAATGTCCTCGGTGAACCCTCCCCTACTGTCCCCATCTCTCTTCAAGAGGAAACAGGAACATTAATGTCACATTGCGATCCTGCAGATTTATGTTTGGTTAGATGTGAAATTCTCTAGTTTATATTGTATATTATGGTGATTTATACGCCTGTGACTTTCCCTCTTTTCAACTTCAGATAAACAATCTCTGTCCTGTGACGTCACTCTTGTTGAAAAGCAGGGTTTATTGTGAATTTTACAGAGATACGACACAGCTTGCTGTTCCCTAGAGGCCGCGTGTGGGCGGTCCACTATCACCCTGCCTAAAATGAACAAATTCACTTCTCCTAGAGAGACAGAGTGGCCCATTTTCGGAAATTCACACTCGCTCACCTCTGTATTTTTATTGCCTTTAAAAAAACAAAAAACATATTCCTAATCCTTCAGATCTAAATCATCCTCTCACAGGGATGTTTAAGTAATTATGTAAACACTTTCCACTAAAATGAACAAATTCACTTCTCCTAGAGAGACAGAGTGGCCCATTTTCGGAAATTCACACTCGCTCACCTCTGTATTTTTATTGCCTTTAAAAAAAAAAACATATTCCTAATCCTTCAGATCTAAATCATCCTCTCACAGGGAAGTTTAAGTAATTATGTAAACACTTTCGGCTGTTATACACTCATTCACGGACTCTTCTTATAACAAAAGTGTGATGGATAGGCTATATATACTGTACATCAGAATTACATGTGTCTTCATACGGCCTCTTAAGACTAAGGTACTGTAACTGTCCCCTCAGATCAAGGCTTCTGCATACTTTACGTTCTTAAAGTGCACAATCTGTTCCCTCCAGCAGTCTGGAGTTAAGTGTCCACATGTACGCATGGAAATTGAACCTGGAATGCTCCATCCTATAAAAAATAAACAATTCTCAGAAAAGTTAAGCATTTCGCCGAAACCCAGGCAATGTTCTTTGCAGAGCACCCTCTCTGTTCTTTCTATACTATATTCTATATATTTTTTTTCTTGGCAACCCTATTATCAGATATTTTTGTCAGCAAAATAAAATAAACAGGTGATAAATATGGCTGCAAATATATCGTGTACAATGGCGAAACTGTACACAAAAACAAACATAGAATGTGACCACAGAACTTTTATGAGACAGATGTTTTAATGAATTGGTCAGAAACACTCACAAACAATGCATCTGAAGCATCTCTTTACTGAATTAACTAATTGCATCCGTCAGAGTGCACAATCTTAACACTTTTCTATACTCTGTCTGTATTCTCTTTGTCTCTGACTGTCTTTTTTCCGCTTTTCCTTTGTGTACCTCCACCACCATGAGCCATTAATCAGATAAAGTATTGCCACAGACATGTTATGGCTCTGTTGGATCTTTACCAGCTCACCCCTGTTTACTAAACCAGCACTCGCTGTGTGAAATCCTCTTTGTGGTGTTTTTTGCTGATGGTTGGGCCCCCTCAGCACACTAATCTTCTTTGTCTCTGGGGTCTAGAAGTTTTAAAGCTGTAAATAACTACCGCAAAGTGTCCAAATCCATGGCAGAGAATTACTGCACTTGGATATTTGACCGCCTGTAACAGTGAAGAAGAATTGAAGTGAATCCTTTCTGCTCCCTTTAAAGCTGAAGTGGGCAATTTCTGCACCTTTTAGTGTCACCAAGCGTAATTGCAAAAATAATGGTTATTTTCAAACGTGTTTCTGAACAATCTGGATCAATTATAGAAGATTATAGGAGAGGACTTTTGAAATGTCCATCGCAAGAGTGTTAGATTCTGCTCAGAAGCGATGAAAACGTCCTGCCTTAGAGAGAGAAAAAAAAAAATCAGTTCAAAACACCCATTTGTTTGTGAATTGGACTACACTGGTCATGCTGTATGTTGTTGCATGCAACCAAAACGGACTACACAATAGGAGATGTTAAAGAACCCTTAACAGAACTGAATGTCACGGAAATCACCCGGTTACAAAAAATGGAACCAGTTCTGAATGCAAACAATCGCACGATTCCCAGCCCGATTACCTTACAATATTTGTTGTTTGGTTTTGTGCTGTAATTATTTCAATGAGATGTGTTTGTGTTACACAGTTCTTCAAAATCATATGTTGTTTTTTTGTTTTCAGTTCAGTGTGGTGTTCCTGACCACATCCTTCCGACTGTTCCAACTTCGCAGCATCTGAACCGCTTGGCCGCTCATCTCAGTTCAGAGTGGAAGTCTGTGCTGCTGGACCTGGGTCTGTCCTTAGCAGATCTGTACCGGTGCTGTGCCGACCACCCCCTCGCAGTTCAGAGTCAGGTGCTCGCTGGGCTGGTGATGTGGACGCAGAGGAACGGAAGAGAAGCCACAGTGCGGCGGCTGCTCCAGAGCCTGCAGGCCGCAGACATCCCGCCATCTGACCTCCAACAGGTGTTTGTGTGACATAACAAGTTGTGTTTTTCTGGACTTCATACTGCTCTTGAGCTGTGGAAAACACAACAGACACTGGAGGAGAAACAGACAGTGTCCTTCCGTGACTTTTTGTATTTTGTCACAGGAATGTACTGAAACTCCATTATACATCTAATATGGCTAGAAAAATTATGAAATTGATCATGTCATACTGTTTTTTTTTATATGTATGTCTTTTAATATTAAAATAATTTTTCTTAATTATGCTTCTGAAATATTTTTTGTATTGCCCTTAAAAGTGTCCATTTTTGTTTGACATTACCCTTAAATACATTTTATTTATTTATTTTTTTTTACCTGCTGGAACAATGTGTTAGTGAATCAAGGTAGTAGCTCTATGAAAGGAAATGTTAAAAGTAAAATCCCCCAGAACAGCTGTGAAAAGTGAAAAGGCGTGCATGTTAGTTTGCCTTGAGGACATATATATGCTATAAGGAAGTCCATTTCTACTTACATTTACAGTACATTCATGCATTTGGCTGATGCTTTTATCCAGCAGAGTTGTTATTGATGGTAACAGATAACACTGACTTTTTTCACATCACTATATACATTTTTAAATCTATATTTCTAACCATTTATTTCTAATCTATAATGTATGTTCTGGGACTGGTTACCAATTCTTTTTTCATACTTTTAAAACACATTTTTATGCTGTCCACTTATACAGTTCTGGAGTGTGACAAATTAATAAAATTAAAAAAAACAAATATTTAATGTAGTTAGTTAATACGAGTTCAACTGCGTGTATAGTAATTATACAATAACTGAAACATTACACAATTGTTTGCTGAAATGCTGTTTTCAACATAATCTCAGGCTACTACATCTGGTCTGCTCTCTATAGTTTTTCTCTCCATCTGTCACTTGTTTTTATTCAGTGCTGTTTATTCAAAGCTTAATCAATATTTACAGACCAGGTGTTTGTAATATGACAGGTAATTTCCTTATCTCTCACTTATTAATCTGTGTGTGTGTGTGTGTGTGTGTGCGTAATACAACATTTGCACGCGTCAGTTTCTCTGCTGTGTGTACCAGCTCCCTCCATAAGGCTGATGCGTGCGCGTGTTTGTTTGTGTCAGGTTTTTGTTTTCTGCTTTGTCTCCCAGGTGTTAGTGCCACATTATGAGACTTTGAATGCTTTCCTAGAATCTGAGCGTGAAAGAGTTTACACTGATGTATAATTGACTTACCTAGTTAAATATAAATGGCCATCAACAGCCCCATTGTCCCTAAGGTGGTCCAATAATGTCATGTTGTGCAGAAAACTTGTTGCACTGTTCAGAATCAGAATCAGAAAGAGCTTTATTGCCAGGTATGTTTACACATATGAGCAGGGGCGCCGCTATGGTTTCTGGGCCCCCTGAACAGCATTGACTCGGGCCCAATATACAAACAAATATTTTTTTTAAATATACAAATAGACAATAGACGGCATTTGTGTGTACATGTACAATGCATGGAAATGTGAATAAGAAGTATGATGTTTTAAATAAATAAATGTTTACATAGTGTTGTGTATTACATGTTTATTGCCAAGTTAACTGTTCATGAGGTGGATTGCCTGAGGGAAGAAACTGTTCTTATGCCTGGCTGTTCTGGTGCTCAGTACTCTGTAGCGCCGACCGGACGGCAACAGTTCAGAGGCCTGGGCTGGGTGTGAGGGGTCCAGAATGATTTTGCCAGCCCTTTTACTCATTCTAGATGAGTGCAGTTCTTGGAGAGTGGGGAGGGTTGTACCAGTGATTCGCTCAGCAGTCCGAACTGATAACTGATCGTTTGTGATGAATGTTCATCTTCTGATAAAGTAATGTACATACGTCCACTGTGGTGTTATTCTTTTCTGAACAACTGACTGTCTCGCTAAATGTGCACCAACACAGAGCTATCTGACACACACCAGACACACACACACACACAGGCCTTCTGTCCTTTGAGTTTCCTAATTCCAGGGAAGCGTTTGAAATTCAGCTTAGCGTACGTTTTTTGTTCTGGCGTTTCTCAGAAATGTGCAGGGCCTTCAGTTGGGATGGTTGAATTCATACCCATAAAATGATGTGTGTGTGCGGTCCAGTGGTTCGGAAAAATCACGTGTGGTGCCAAAAAACGCATCAGCGCCCGTAAAAGCACCTCCGACGAAGATAAAAATGCCTCCATGGGCTTACAGCATGTTTGTTCTAGATTTAAAGGTGGCCGAAGGAAAAGCGTTAAAGCAGCTCTTCAGCAAACGATATGTCTTACTCCACTGAATTATAGCGGTGGTCACCCGCCTTCCCCTGAACTCTAGAGAAATATATACTTGAGGGTTGCTGTAAATGCTGTGGCGGGCTTCTTGGCTCAGGTTTCCATGGAGACCGGTTTTGGATGGTGTGGCATTCTATACCCTGTGTGCTCTTGATGGATTGGTCTGCGTATTTGTTCTTCTTTTGGTTTCAGCAAATGAATGTCTGGATAGGAATGCTGAGACAGGAATGGTTTTTACTGATGCTGAGTTATGACAAAATCCAGTTATCTTTATCCTGCATTCAGATTGATTTGAATAATGTTAGCGATTTAACTCATTTTGTGGCATGAGTGATAATTTGCTGTGATTATCTATCAGTCTCTGGAGTTTTCTTTACCTGCTGGAACAAGATGTGAGTGAATCAAGGTAGTAGCTCAATGAAAGGAAATGTTAAATGTGAAATCCCCCAGAACAGCTGTGAGTGAAAAGGTGTGCATGTTAGTTAGCCTTGAGGTCATATATATGCTATACACTTTATCAGAGCAAACCATCACAGCTATAGGCTACACCTTCAAATCCGGATACCTCTCTTATCATTTCCTGATCCGGCTTAATGGTCTATTCATGAATGAAGCATAAAGATTAGTGATAAAGGTCACAGTCTCTCTTCTGTTGTCTAGATCACAGTCTATAGCATCCTCAAGTGACCTTCTGAAGAAGTCCCGCAAGGTATTATCTCTTTGTAATGGATTAACCCTGCCTTCCCATAACAAAGCATCAGACACTTCTACTAGGTTTAATGCAAAATGTTCAGTTTAGCTGATGTTTACTTTTCAGAAATGCCACTGTCTAACTTGTTTTAAGATATTATGGGTCCCAATCACCTTGCAATTTTTCCAGGTTTCCATATACCTGGAGAATGCTACCTGTTAGAATTGCTATTCATCTCAATGGACGTTGATCGCCTGGACCAGCACCCTTCTGGAAGTATGTGTAATTTAACATTTTTGGAACACTGGAACTTTTTAAATAATGTGTGAAAAAAAATGTTGCAACTCTAAAAGTGTAGCTAGCTAAACCACATAAAATTCACACCACACTTTTCGTATCATTGTCTTACAGTACATAATTAGCTTAATTAAAAGAACAGAAAAGCTGCAGGTTTTTGGTGATGAAGGAAAATGGAGTAGATGTTTTAATTTTTTTTTATTTTGCATTTATCAATATTTGTGATATGTTGAATTGTATTTTTGAACAGGACGCAAGAGAGCATGACATCGTAGCACATTCGTTGCAGTGTTCGAAGAAATTTGCCCTGCGTCCCAATGTTCATATCCATCCAAAATAGTATGCAACAATAGAATAAGTGTGTCCCAAAGCATAGTTTGTTGAAAAGAGTATGCCAAAAGTCCCTGGATGGTTTTGCTCTTTCAGATAGATTTTTAAAGTGTGGATCCGTGCACACTCTAATGCAGGGTTCCTCAAATCTTACCCTGGAGGTCCAATGCGCTGCAGAGTTTAGCTCCAACCCTGATCAAACTCGCCTACCTGTGATTTTCTAATGATCCTGAAGACATTGATTAGCTTGCTCAGGTGTGTTTGATTAGGGTTAGAGCTAAACTCTGCAGGAAAGTGGATCTCGTGGGCCAGATTTGAGGATCCCTGCTCTAATGGCTAATATTGCACACAATCCATTGCGCTTTGGCGAGAGATTCGGTTCAGAACTACAAACACGAATAAAAACCTTTAAAAACTACAAACATGGCGGATGTGCACGACCGACCGTTAAGTAGAGAGGCTTATGGTGCGTTCAAGTCATCTCGGATAGATCGTATTTACTAGTTGAACGCACATGAACGCCACCACAAAGTCGTTATTACGAGTGGGAAACTCGAAATTTTCTTTAAGCCCCGAGTTTGAGAAGGGTCTGGCTGCAGCCTTGCGCTTGCACTCTCAGACACTAGCACTTCCGCTAGCAGTCTTTTTTATTTTGTTCTATTTATTGATTACTTTTTGTTTGAATCTCTCAACATTTTACAACAGTAGCCAGGTGGTGAAGACAAGAAAAAAGAAACTACCTTATGCAAAAAATATGCATAACTCATTATGCAAAAAATATGAACAGAGATCTCCGCATAAAGACCCACGGCTGGCAGATCAACATGCTATGTCTTTTCTCTGCAATCCACCTTATTTTTCCCGTAAGAACGGGCGTTTGTAAATTTTATGGGTCTGGCTTCCGGAGTCATCCACTTCCAGCTATTTTTAGCTGTACGGAACTGCTCGTTTTGCTGCTTGAATGTATTGTCTTAATTATGAACACGCTGGTCTGTAGTGCAAACAGTTTTACCAATTACTGCACTTTGTTATTCTTCTCGTTATTTTCCATTCAGTGGCTAATGAACCGGAAGTCTCGCACATTACCGGAAAACGTCTTCCACATTGAAAAATAAGGTGGATACGGTAGGAAGTTAAATTAAATTAAATGTGGAGGATGTTAACTGTGACAAGATGATTGACAGGCCAGATTACAGGGACAGGCTGCATGTAACTATGCGACCGAGCGGTCCGTTAAAGACTCAATTGTATGACGTTATAGTATGTCCCAAAACTTGCCTACTCTTCTACTACACATTCAGAAGTTTGTACTTTTTTTTCACCAAAAGAGTACATACTTTAAGGGCGCAGTATAAAGGCAAATTGGGATGCAGCATTTGCATGCTCAAAGTCTAGTGTGAACGCGAACTGACTTCAATGATTTAGATGTATTTGATCGATTAATTGAAAAGATCTGATTCAAAAGAGTCATTCATTCCGACTTGAAAACCGAAAACTGTCCTGTTCATTCAACAAAAAAGAGGTAGGCTACATCATTCAAAACCCTACTGAATGATGCCAGTACCCT